CGACGACGGAGGACGGTACGGCGGAGTGCGGAGACGAGGAGGGAAGGAGAGAGAGAGAGAGAGAGAGAGAGGAGGTTTATAGCACGACAAGATAAAAACGAAGCGCGACCGTGAACGTGTACGAGGAATCGCCGCGAGCGTCGCTTCTAAAGTTGTCCGCAGACGCTGAAACATGTTGCGATGCAGACTCGAGCGATGGGTTCGAGCCGATTGACTCGAGCAAGACTCGAATCCATCGCTCGATATCTGTATCGCGACATCTTTCCACACGCTTGCTTCAACACACATATATATATATATATATGTATACACATGTATTCGAGCGATGGGTTTAAATTAACGCTTCGCGCGCTATAATATTGGAAACGGTAGAGGTAGATTTCGCGTGCCAATCGCTCGAGCCAATGTCTGTCCCCGTTGCAAAATATTTCAACGTATTTCAACGGATCTGTATGCGTGCTTATTTCGCGTTTATATCTAAGAAATTTTACCAACCAAGCCTAAATTGCATCACACATATGTTTATTCGTGTAAACATGTGTACAATAAGAAAGTATATTTGACGAGTTGATCATTGACTCGAGCCCATCGCTAGCGACGCCTGTATCGCGACGCGTTTGTAGGCCGTCTCATGGCTCTGGGCCGTTTCTTTCTATTCCCCGAGTCGAAATCGCGCTTTCAACTTTGCCCCCTCCTTCCTTCTCCTCCCCCCCCCCTCCCCAAGAAGATTCACCTGACCCTAATTTAGAATTTAGATCGGAGCAAACACATTCCCGGAGACTCGACGTCGTTTGTTTGGAACTTTGTACGCGATTGAATAACCGCGAGTCATCGGCCGGCCTGCGCCTCTTCAACGCCTTTCGCGACGTAAATCCGCGCGAGTCCGAGTCGAGTCCGTGTCGTTGGGACAAGGTCGTTTCCTCTCGATCCCTCCCCCTACTCCTTTTTCTTCGCCGCGAAAATGAAACGAATATCGGCGGAAAACGATCGAAACTCGTTCTCCCTGCGTGCGTGCACTCTTCGTTACGAATACGGACAGCGTAATATATACGCGCGGTAAATCATTAATTATAACACGAGCGAACGAGCGAGGTGCAAGGTTCAAGGAGAGCCGCATTCCCAGAAATTCCCCTCCTATTTGTAAACGATCTGTGTGACATACACACACACATATATATATATTATGCGAAAGAGAGGAATAAAAAAGAGAAAAGAGAAGAGGTCGTCTCGTGATTAATTCGAAAAACGTTGTCCAATTTGTCGGGCTCTCCGATCAGACGCGCCGCCGCGCCTTTCCAATTTTAGCTTAGCAAGAATTGTATGGCATAACGATATATTTTTAGTCGGTGGTGGTGCACGGTACGTGTAGCCCCTACCGTATAGATGATACGAACGCGTGCTTTCTCGAGTGTCTTCCGCTCGCGTAAACACGCGGTGCACAAACAGGCGAATTTCGACGGTCACACGTGGCTCGAGACAGGTACGAATATTTCGTATTTATTTATTTGTTACGGAAACGCTGGATGGATGCCTAGTCTCTGTTTATAAAACTGAGTTTCACAGGTGAGAACATGGTGAGAAGAAAAGGAAGGAAGGAAGGAAAAAACGATAAGAAGGCGGGCGAGGCTACGTAGTATTTATGAACCGGAACGCCTGTTATCGCCGCGAGTCGTTGAACCTGCATTAAAAACATCTGCCAACGATCGCGCCAATCCCCCCCCCCCTCCAAAAACAGATTTTTCTGCATTCCTCCGCGCGACGACCTCGATCTCGCTCTGGAAATAATCGGGCGAAATCAGGCCCGATTCTCGAACGATGTTGAATCAACTCCGAATTGATAAAAACTGTTGATCGAATTAACCGCGGTTAAACGAATTAGCGACGATTACTTGCCACCACGTGTTCGATGGGAAGGGAATAACGCTAAAAATAACAATTTCATCAGTTGCACGGAGGATCGCACGCACGCAAGGGAGAGGAGAGAAGAAAAATCGGCGTCCCTGCTCGCCATGTGTCGCGCTCCGCCCGGCAGTTTCACACGGCTTCGGTTCGTTGCCAATAACGCGATTACACGAACGAAAACGGGTTCTCCCACGAAAATTCCTTCGGCAAATTAACTCGCGTGCCTCGATCGCGTGATAAACCGCGATAAATCGTTGGAGCGGCAACGATTGGACAACGTCCAAACGGGATAATATATAACGCGTTTCATCCTGAAACGGAGGAAGTATCGTGATTAAAAATCGTGGTGAAAACCAATAATAGAATCATCACCTCCGTTCTTTCTAAAGCAACCAAGCCACTCCCCAAAACGAAACCGGTAAATATAAAACGCCTACGAAACCGGATCTCCAACCGGATTATTACAGGATTTTCGAAATGATTCTCGAGGATAGATGATTACACGCGATTCATACAAAACGATAAATATATACGGATTGTGGCGACGTGTTAATCGTTGCTCCGCTCGAGTATTCCTTTGCGAGAGGGGGGGAGGGACGTTATATATTCCGGGCGGGGAAATATCGCTGGCAAATTTAACCCTAGGCGGCCAAGGTAGGCGTAATTTAATTATCGATAACACGAGCACGCATTTAGGTTTCAATTAGGAAAAGCGAGCCCGCGCACGCACCGCCAGCGCAAGCTTGCACATTCCCGTTACGTTGCATAGCGCGGGCTATGCCGACTATGTATACCGGCCGTAAACAAGGTAAATTATCGAGGCACGCAGTAGCACGACGTTGTGGATAAATTTCACCGCCCTTTGCCAACAACAACAACAACAACAACAACAACAACAACAACCATCGAAGCTTATTCTCGAGATATAATAATAATAATAATAATAATAATTCGAAACGGTCGGTTTTTCGCGAGTAAGGATCGATTTATCGATATATCGGATAAACGAGGAGCGTTTAATTTCGTACGTAGCTTCGCTTCGTTTTGCATCCCGGATTTCCGCGTCGGCCGATACGGAATACGGGTGACGTAATTCCACGGGGATACTCTTCCACTGGTCGAAACTTATTTTCAGTTGCGTTTCGTGTTCCTCAACACGAGTTTGAAGAGGCCCGCCACGCATTTTCCAATCTCGCCTCGCAACGCGCCTATTTGCATACGATAATATGCAAAGTGTGTATCGGTACGCGTTTGCGGTGACGATGCGAGAATAATCTCGCTCTCCCTCTCTCTCTTCTTTTTCTCTTCACACGCCCGCCACCTCCACCTCCTCCTTCGCGGTGTGTTAAAAAATATTTCGAATTCCGCGACGGAGGGACGAAAGAATTTTTTTCTTTTCTTCGAATTCGAATCGTGAAGAAATCGTGGAAAAACTGGATAAAAACTGGCTCGTATCGCCACAGTTTATAATATTGTACGGTTCCGCGAAATAAGCGGAACTCTGGGAAAAAGGTAG